GGTATCTCTGACATGCTGGGCCTGAGAGAGGTGTCTCTGACATGCTGGGCCTGAGAGAGGTGTGTATGACATGCTGGGCCTGAGAGAGGAGTGTCTGACATGCTGGGCCTGAGAGAGGTGTGTATGACATGCTGGGCCTGAGAGAGGTGTCTCTGACATGCTGGGCCTGAGAGAGGTGTGTATGACATGCTGGGCCTGAGAGAGGTGTTTCTGACATGCTGGGCCTGAGAGAGGTGCTTCTGACATGCTGGGCCTGAGAGAGGTGTGTCTGACATGCTGGGTGTGGCGGAGCGGGCGTGGCGTGACGTGGCGGTCCTGTCCTGCCTTTGTTATTATAGACTTGATTCTTCAATTTAGTTTTTATTTTTATTTTTTTTTCCTTTTTCATTTGATGATTTAATTGGTTTTCAGTGTGGTTTTATTAGTTTCTATTAGTTTTTACTTTACAGATATTTCTTTTTAGTTTCTATATATTTTAGTTTCACTTTAAGGTTCAGTAATTTTATTTCTGTGGACAAACTAAATTTTTAGAGCTTTTTCTGTGTCTGATTTTTAGAGAATCCTAAATTAATACACGGTGCACATTGTGTACTAATGTCTTTAAAATGGGCAAACCACATTCCCGGTATTATCAATGGTAATGAAACATAAGCAAACCATTACTTTAGCTAAATGGTATTAAAAACAGTAATGGAAAGGATCTGATTTTTGTTTGCATTTAATTTCAGTTTAGGAAGTAAAATTTATAGTCTTAGTTTAGATGTCGTTTTTTATTTTAGTTTAGTGTGTTATTTTATTTCAATTTACAAAAATGTTTTCAATAATGGTAATAACCTTTTCTGAATTAGCCTGAAGTCCATGTCCGTCCATGAAGCCCATCCATGAAGCCCATCCATGAGGCCCATCCATGAAGCCCTTGATCTAATAACGCCGACAAGCTACGGCTGTTTCCCGTGGAACAGCTCCCTGGTGTAGGAGGCCCGGCGTAGGTGGTTCTGAGTAGGCTGCTGTTCCTCCGACCGCCTGGTGTTCGGCTAATGAAAGCGCAATCAATGGTCACGGGCGAAATCGACTCGCAGCAGCAAACGCTGCGAAACGTGACGGTGTCATTGCCTGCCCTGGAGGTGTGATTCCGGCAAAGAACGGCTACGGGGGCTATGGAGGGAATGGAAACCAGCGGACCTGGTGCTGTTCCATTGGGCCGCTAGGGCCGTACACACACACTCTACATATTTGTATTTCACCTAGTAATTTGACACACACAGCAAGGTAAAAATAGGAATATTATTGCCAGTTAAATCTGTTTAAAAAGCTATCTCTGTGTTTATAATGACATACAATAATCATAGCATTTTCTGAGGATGGTAAATTGGAAAAAACATACAGTATTGTTCTGTGCTTTCTATTTAAATTTCTACTGACCCGCTGGACCAGGCCGTAACACACAACATTAAGCTACGATTTTACA